ATACAGAAAATAAAACTACATGAAAAAAAATATGTAAAAAAAACCTAATATCCTGTGGGATATGATTTAAAGGATCTTTACAGAGTAACTTTCTCAAAGTTAAGCCAGTCTGGTCTGCTCCAGTAAGTGCCTTGAAACTGTTCAGGAACCTAAAGCCTTCCATCTTAATTTCTTTTGTGAAACAGATGAGATGGAAATATAATATGTAACTTGATTAATGCATGATTGGATGGTAAGAACACTAGCAATTGAATGTGATGTCAAAAGCATTTGCTGAATGTCCACTGAGAGTATCAGAACAAATGGCAGGCAGCGGAAGACTTTAGACAAAGAATAAATAGAGCCGAAGGCTTAACGAAATAACCAGCAAGAGCTGTCATGACAGGGTGAGTTGCAAATGCAGACAATTTAAGTTATTCCTGAAGGTCAACAAATAGCGGAAGGAGAATGGTAAATAACTGACTGCTGGTTTTGAACATACTACTAACTGATCCAGATTTCCACCCATTTCCTTCCCAAATGCCAGTGACAAATATGTTGGAACAGCAACAGCACCTTTTGTATAGGAGCACAAGGTGGCTGAATCTATATGTGTAGCTTATTTTATCACTGAACTGTGCTCCCCAACATTGTTCTGCGACATAAAAACTGCTGTAAGAACCAAAGTTAGATGTAGAGCTCTAAGAAAAAAAACCCTACCTACCCCTGATTTATTTCTTTTAAAGCAAGACAGTATGATCCATCGGTAAGGATTCTGTTGTTATAGAGGTGGCAGTAATGCACAGACCTCATCAGAGTCCCATGTCCTTGGCTCAAAAATTTAATGCCGCACAGCATATATTATGAAAGCTCTACACCTGAAAAGTTTATGATTGGTAGTTGCATTGGTACTGCATTTATTAAAGAAAGTTGTGTACTGTGTTTATTCAGAAATGTTGCCCATGATAATAGAGATGATTTTTCTCTTCCTTTAAAAATAATTTGCAAAAAAAAAAAAAAATGACAGAATTGAAGTTACTGTAGACTACATATAAGTATTAAATGTATGAAGGAGTTAATCTTTACAATGCCATCCATAGCATTCTTTTGTGTTTCTATAGTTTACAGTTTTCCTTTTAGGTCCTCTTATACTTGTATAATACCTCCACTGTTTATTTCTTCCTGCTCCCATTAACACTGACATGCTCAGCATAGTGGTGACAAAGTGAAATGTCCTAAAAACCTGATCTCTGTAGTGGTTTTTTGCTGGCGTGCCAGAGATCACTTTAAATTTTACTTTGCTTCCAATACACTAATTGAAGACAGCAGAGTGGAACAGCAGGGGACAGAAACAGAGCACTGTGAGTCCTGACAAAGATTTCTCTCTAGAGGCAAGCATTCAATTAACATCCCTTGTTAGACAGCAAAAACTAAGTACCCTGAAGCTATCTGTTGCTTATTTGTTATTTCCCTGAAAACTAGGATTTCCACTTTTTACTTTTTTTTTTGGGTATGGTTTCAAAATCTCATTTACCCTGTGACACATAGGTAATCCAAGCTAGGTGGTCAGCTGATGTTTGATGGAACTGCTAATTCAAAGCAAGGTGGTAGAATGATAAATATTGTTCATTCAGGAATTTTGCAAAGAGATAGTGTTCTTGCATTTATAATATCATTGCAAAAATTTGAAGTATGTGAGATAGATAGATAGATAGATAGATAGATAGATAGATAGATAGATAGATAGATAGATAGATAGATAGATAGATAGATAGATAGATAGATAGATAGATAGATAGATAGATAGATAGATAGATAGATAGATAGATAGATAGATAGATAGATAGATAGATAGATAGATAGATAGATAGATAGATAGATAGATAGATAGATAGATAGATAGATAGATAGATAGATAGATAGATAGATAGATAGATAGATAGATAGATAGACAGACAGACAGACAGACAGACAGACAGACAGACAGAACGAACCTCAGTGGAGGTATTATACAAGAGGCAAACTGTAAACTATAGAACACAAATGAATGCTATGGATGGCATTGTAAAGATTAACTCCTTCATGCATTTGTGCACATTTGGAACATTGGAACATACCATCTTCTCTCCTCATTAGAAGTCTTAAGCAGAAGCTATAAAATCCACTTATCAGGCATATATTAGAAACAGGTATCCTATATTGGCAAGAATTGGACTTGTTGTCCATTCAGGTCCCTTCAAACTTTAAGGTGCTTTGCTTTTAAATAGTTTGATAAATTAGAAATTTATCTTCTAGAATTTCCCCCCCCCCAAAAAAATAAGGTGTAGGAAGTGTTAATATCTTGAACTTTTATTCACTAAGGTTGTATATGTAACCATATACCATTAAAAGTATGGAAAATCTGTAACATTGAGGAAAAGTATTTTGTAGCTGAAAATATAGTTGATCTCAATTTTCCAAAACAATGTTTTATTGCATAATGGCATACTTGGGAGGTGGAACATCTCAAGGTAGGACTATAAATCCAAGTACAATTTTTTCTATGATGATAAGGCACTAGGCATGTCTTGTGTTGTTCATTGCTCTTTTCTAAAATTCATGGGGTAACATATATATTCCTTGACAAATAACAGAATTACTTTTATACGGACCTTTTCCTACGATGAATTCTTCTAATTTACTCAGCAAATCTATATCCACTTAACTGGGACTTAACCCTATTGATCTCATGATAAGAAGGTTTTTAATATGTTTTCTTTTTCTTCCTGGAGAATCTTGACCATGTGAATGAGCTTCATGTTTATAGCTATACTTCCATCTGGCACCATGCCTGCTAAAAAAAGAAGCTATTAGTCTAACATGCTTTTGGGGCCCATAGACGCTGCCCCTGCAAATTATTCTATTTAAGTTACAGGAGAAACATAATTTTTGCTTTTCTTTCTGTCATTTTTCCAGTCTTTGGTGTTTATATATTTATATTTTTAACCCTAATCTGGGAGCTGTATTTTAACCTATATGCCAGTTAGACATTCAGTGCAATTACTGCTCTCTACTTGATACAAATCTGAGTAAGTTGGTAAGAGTGCATCCTTTGGGAATTTCTGAGGTTAATTGTTAATATTAGTTTAATTCCAAATTATTATTTCTAATTATGGGTGAAAAAGTGAACATTGTTATTTAAAATATTATTTGGGGAGATGATTACTGAAATGTGAGGCCAAGTAATTTGAAGTATATGTTGTTTTCTATTTCTTGATAATAAAGAAGTCATTTCCTATCTTCCTAAGAAGATAGAAAGATTGAGGTAAGTTGTCTGTGTAGCTCTGAACATACATGCAATATATATTTAAACCAAAAACATATTGCAGATAAAAGAATTAAGGAGAATTTGTTGAGATAAAATGGCCACTAAGGTTATATAAATTTGATTGCATTTTAAAAGCAATCTTTAGTTTTATACTGTTTTAAAATGACTTGGATTTCTAATTTGACTTTTGGATTGTCTGAATTTCAATTAACTGCTTTTAATAGCTGTAACTTTTTGAACTCACGAGACTTCTTTGGAAATGTCTGTCTCTTTCACAGAACTATAGCCCCAAGTCACTTTAACCTAAAGACATTACAATTTTCTGCAGATAATCTCCTACAATGTCAGAAAAATAAAAACAAAAGCAAATTAACATTTTGTTTATTAGTCAAAAAAATGCTGAAAACCTGCTGGGTACTTTTTCTGCTGTTGCTGCTCTTGTTGTATTTTATTATTATTAGATTTTGCAACTCTTGCTCTCTGTGAAAACAAATGTCTTCCCTGGTCTGAAAGCATTAGTAGTTCTGCTAGTTCAACACAAGTTAGCATATACTTATTTTTGTTATATTCCAACAAGTCCTCTGAAATCTATGGTCTTGAAAACAGATCTGAGAGGGAAGCCTTACTGTTAAGGCTCAGTCATATGGCTGTGTTAATGTTTTCAATTACAACCTTCTCTTGCAGTGACAAAGATCCAATGCAGTGATAATGCTTACATAAAAATACTCAATTGAAGGAGAAGGAAAAGGAAAAGGAAAAGGAGATTTGTAAAAAAAAAAAAAAAAAAAAGGAAAGCAGTACATTTAATAGTCGATAAAAAAGCAGATTAATGTACATAAGAAGAAAATATATACCATGCCAAATCAAAATGGCTAAAACTCTATTACTGGCACATGTTAGTTTCTTAGCTCTGCACTAGAGTAAAGCATCAATGTTTATACATTTCATCTCCCAGCAAAACTAGCTTACCCAGCAGCATCAGTGTGTCTGTTTGTATGTCAAAATAATCAGGATAGTGGTGGTTGCAGTGCAGTCAGATCTCTGCCCTTTTGTATGTATATGTCAACACTTGTACAAAAGGGGTGGGGATTCAATTGTGTGGACTCCTTCTTGATTTTTTTTTAACCCTTCCTACAGATGCTGCCGAGTTTATAGTCTACTATTTCCCTTGCTCCATTTGGAGCTTTTCTTAGGCCACATGATTCCTATTGTCTTATTTCAAGGGTTGGTACTGAGTATTGGTACTGAGTATTTTTAAATACTTTTTTTTTCCTGCTGGAAAGAATAGTCATAAAGAGTGCTTTCCAAATAGCATCTTGATCTCAAGTATTTCTTGTCTATCATTCTCCAGTCTGGGCAAGAGGAGATTAGAAGCTTCTATGTTTGGGTTAATCATTGCTTGCCTGGCCTCCAATCTCAATTTTGTATGATTTATTGAAACAAACCAGCATCAAACCATAGTGTACAATTTCAGCATTATAATTAAAATTAACCAGAGATTAGGGTTTGGGCACAGTGTCTAAGGTAAAACACAAGGTTTTTTTTTTTCCTCCCTAGAAGCATGATAGTGAAAAAGAGGAAGGCCAAAGAGTCACATGCAAATGCAGTCACTGAGTCATCATCAAAATATACACTGGAGAGAAAAAATATATGATATGCAAGCTGATTTTTCTGTGGTTTCTCTCTCTCTCTCTCTCTCTTTCCTTCTGAACAGCACGCATTATTAAAACAAAACAGTGGTGTGAAATGCTTCCGTGTTTAGAAGGAGAAGGTTGCGATTTGCTTATCAATAGATCAGGCTGGACCTGTACACAACCTGGTGGGAGAATAAAGACAACCACGGTAAGCTTTCTTGCTTCTTGCAAACTTTTGGGTTCCACCTTAATTGTCATGATTCAGAGAATAAGTCATCAGTTGGGTTTCAAAGAGCAACAGAGAGTAAAAGATAAAGCTGGTTAAGAATAAAACTACACACATCATTAATACATTTGCAATCTTACATAGTCATAATTTTCTTATTAGATATCTTTGATTGTAATCTGACTCATCATGCATGCTGGGGATTTTTTTTTTTTATACTTGACACTGTAAATGGTGCTAACCAGGAGGATTGCTTAACAATTATAGAAAATTCAAAATGTGGCCGCAGAAATTCTGTACAGCTTAAAACCCTGGGAGCAGTTGACCCCAAATTTACATGAGCAGCACTAGCTGTCAGTTTGCTCAATGATTGCACCTAGAGGCTTTCTGCTCTGTAAGGTGAAACATTTCTTAAGATAGCACTGGTGATTTATATGAGACTATCTATTACCAGATTAATTTTTATTGGTAACTAGGGATCAAAAAATTCCTTCTGTTAAGAATGTTTCTCAGAACACTCGACATTTAGCAAAAACAAATTTGTTCTGCTGGTTTCTGCTGTTTTAATTGTTGACATATTTAATTAAATGTTTAATATGCTTTCATGATAGTTTTGATATTTTTATTTTAATTACAAATTGCTTGGGGTGCCACCTGATAGATAATTTAAAACCAAATATAAAAAGGGAATGTATGTGAATGAGAATCAGAACAAGAAAGACATTTTTAGAAAAGAAATGTCATAGTATCAAAGATGGATACTAGGAATCATGCTCTGAATGATAAAACTGGTGGTCATTTAGCTGTCTTTATACCTCATTTCCTACATGAATGTGTCTCTCAGTAAGATGGTTACTCAGTCTAAGCAACTTACAAAATTTAGCATCTCAGAAACAGAACAGTTTTCATTTTCAAACTGGAAAATCTATTTGGTATGTACTTTCTTTGATTCTAATTCCCTGTATTGCTGGTCCAATTGATTTCCATATCACATTTTTCTAGAAAACTAGACAAGGAACCCTTCCAGTATTTCAATTATGTGGTGAGAAATCAAAACTCCAGTCTATTAAATAAGTTCCTTGTACTTTGTCTAGTATGAATGTATATTCTGAGAGACAAATTATACATAATAGAACTGTCCAGGAACCAACTTTGCATGTTCAGTTCAGAATTTGGGAGCAATCCTTCTCCTTTGCTAAGTGCATTGGTGAAAATGCATCTCTGTGTTTACAGTATGATCCTACAGAGGAACCTAACTTTACACATGATTCCTTCTACAGGAACTAGAACCCTACAGCTAGGCGGGGAGAAAGGTTGTTCACCTCTCTTCTCATATTGGAGTATACACACAAACCACAGGAGTATTATTACTTAGTAATGTATTGTTTTTTAACAAATAACTGGCATTGATTGAATTGGCTTGGGACCAGTGGGGGGTTTGGCACAGGGAGGGGAGCTTTAACCTTTTGTCCTCAGTGGAACTTAGCAAATTCAGAAGGAAATTTCTATTAGACCCATGCATTACTCTTGTGTACAGTATAAATAAAAGTTGCCAATGACAAATCACCCATTGCATTTGATTTATTTGTTAATAAGCATGATCAAAATTTGCAAAATGTCATTATAAACCACATAAAAGGAATGTGGGATTTAAAAAAAAAAAGGGTCAGGAAATGAAATAGATTTATCTATCTGATGAAGTTTATATCTGAACTCTACTGGCAATTGTATCTTTTTCAAATGGATTTTTATAGTCAATGTTACTATAAAAGTACAAAATTCTAACATCTGGTTACAAATATCATTGTAAGAAAGCATGGCATTGTTTATTCCCTTTTAAAAATATTGTGACTAATAGTTTTGTCCCCCCTTCTGTAGAGCTAAAAAGGGCTTCCAAAATATTTTACATAAGGATGGTAAAGCTAAGTCAGTACTTAACCGTGGCTTACATGAGCCAAAAGAAAATAGAAGAGGAAGACGAGGGAACTCAGACACCTGTTCTTAAAATTACATGGTACTTCTGATAATGACCATCTGGAACAGGGAAGGTTCAGGGATTTGCGATGCCAAATGTGGCTGACTTCTCTGAAGAGCTGTTGAAATAACTCATTGTTTCCCATCCCTTCTGCATCTTTTGGAACGGCTACTCCCAGGTGGAGAAAAATAGAAGGTGGGGTCCAAAGGAAATTAGCCTTGCTTCTCATCTCTGCAACCATATGGCCTAGCATTGTAGTGCCATTATTCAAGATTGAATTTAATTGGTTATGTATTTATGTGCTTCTTCAGAGCAAATGTTAATTTCCTACTAAGACTTTGAAAAACGAGGTTTAAACAAAGAATTATGCACAAATTCAGGATGTCTAGTTTTATATTTAATTTTCGCACATATTTTTAAAGAACCATTAAAGCCATGTTCATGTTCGTTATGTTACGTATGATATTTGAAAGAGAATTGGAAATCTATTCCATCCAATGTCAGGTTTGCATTGTCAGGACAATAATTGAGCTGCAAATATTTTCAATCCTCTCACTGAAGTAAGAGCCTGTTATAATTTTGCTTTTTGGATTAAAAGATAGCTGGCTAATCTACCCATTCTGCAAAATGTTTTGGTGATGTATGGGTAGATGAGAATTGTCAGGGTTGGGGGCAGTATACTTCCAAATAACAGCTGTAGGGGAACAATGACAGTGTCCTGCTTGTGGGGCATCTGACTGACCACTGTAAGAAATTATTGATTTGTGTATTATGCTTGCATGTAGGAGATAGGACAGTTTTATTTCGATAATTTGTATTATATATATGCAAAGTTGTATCAGTTTTCATCCACAGATGTTTAATGTTTAGTGAATTTAACTTAGAACATGTAAAAGCAGACATGCTTTATTCTACTGAAGTTCCAAGGGAGATTAATTTCACCCTCAAAATGCTGTATATTATCAATGATGCATCACTACTTAAATGTTACATTATTATTTCATTATTTTACATGATGTAGTTTCAAGGCATGGAGCCTACTACAACATTCATGCACCAGTTCCTCAAAAGGAGTGGGTAGCATCCATTCAGACTAACAAATTTATTAAGATATAAGCTTTCATAAACTGCAGCTCACTAACCTTTTTATGAAATGGACAGGGTCCTCCAGACTGTAAATGTCACCACTTGTCAATTAGATCCATACCCCTCTTGGCTGGTTAAGGCAGCTCAGGAAGTGATGTTTGGATGGGTCCAAGCAATGGTGAATTCATTCTTGGTGGAGGGAGTGCTGGTGCACCCCCTCCTCAAGAAACTGTCACTAGATCCCACCATGTTGGACAATTTTCATCCAGTCTCCCACCTTCCCTTTTTAGGAAAGGTGACTGAGAAAGTGGTGGTACTGCAGCTCCAGAGGATCTTGGATTAAACGGATTATCTAGATCCTTTTCAGTTGGTCAGGCCTGGATATGGGATGGAAACAGCCTTGGTCGCACTTTTGGATGATCTCTGGCAGGAGGAGAATGGAGGTAGTGCATCCATCCTTGCTCTTCCTGATCTCTCAGTGCTTTTTGATACCATCGACCATGGTGTCCTTTTGGGTCAGTATAGAGAGTTGGGGGTGGGTGGCACAGTTCTGTGCTGGTTCACCTCCTTCCTCCAAGGCCAGTCCCAATCACTGTTGATAGGGAATAAGACGTCCAGCCCATGGCCCCTCCTTTGTGGGGTGCCAAAGGGTTCAGTACTCTTTCCACTCCTTTTTAACATCTACATGAAACCACTGGGTGAGATCATCTGCCACCATTGGATGAGGTATCATCAATATGTAGAAGATTCCCAGTTATACATCTCCATCCCAAGTGATTTAAGTGATGCTGTGGCCACTCTTTCGCAGTGCCTGGAGGCTGTGGGGACCTGGATAGGGAACAACAGGCTTCAGCTGAATCCTGGTAAGATGGAGTGACTATGGGTTGGGGGCTCCTCTGTATCCAGGAGTTTACCATTTTTGGTTCTGGATGGGGTAGCACTGCCCCAGATAGACCCAGTGCAGAATCTGGGGTTTCTCTTGGACTCACGACTCCTGGTCGAGGAGCAGGTAGCAGTCATGGCCAGGAGGGTCTTTGCTCAGCTTCGCCTTGTGTGCCAGTTATGCCCTTTCCTGGATCTGGAAGCCTTCCGATCAATCACTTATGCCCTAGTCATCTCCAGTACAGACTTTGCAATGCGGTCTACATGGTGCTACCTTGAAAAGTATCTGGAAGCTACTGTTGGTTCAGATTGCGGCCACGCAGGCAATTTTGGCATATCTGACACCTTTGCTGTGAGAGCTGCATTGGGTGCCAGTCTGCTTCCATGTCCAATTCAAGGTATTGGTCATCACTTTTAAAGCCCTACAGGGCATGGGACCAGGTTACCTGGGGGACCGTCTCAGTCCCATTACATCAACCTGTCCCACTCAGGAAGGCTGGGAAGATATGTCACGGACCCCATCAATTAAAGAATGTTGCTTGGTGGGGCCAAGGAGGAGATCCTTCTCTGCCATTACTCCCGTCCTATGGAACACTCTCCCCGCAGAAGTGAGGCAGTCCCCCCATTCTACTGGCCATCTGGAAAGGTGTGAAGACCTGGCTCTGCCAGCTTGCATGGGGCTCAAAGAGAGGTAGCCAATCCTGGGGGTGGTTAGCACCCTGCAGATGCTTCCGAAGGTTGATAATTTATTTATACCATCTATCCCTTGGATTG